GATTAAATAGGCTCTTGCCTATGTAGCAGTCAAGCTGAGGCTTTTAATGCTTCTGATAATTAAAAATTCTGTTTACAGTTTTTCTTTTCCACCATCACAGGACACATTTTGAATAGTTTCTTAGGCCAACTCCAAGATTTGTGATAGACCAATTTTGTGTTTTCAGTAAATCTCTCAATTTATGATATTTTGCCTATTACAAAGCATTTGATATATTTAGCAAATACGTACTTAATGTAATTCATGTATTGGGTTGTCGGAAAAGTCATGATGTAGTATTTTTTCTATGTTTTTCATTGCAAAAATACATCATGACTTTTCCAGCAACCCAATAAAATAAAGTTCTTTTGAGGAAGCTTTTAAAAATGCATACCTGTTTATGTGGCTCTCTAGCTTCAAACCCTTCAGCAGATTTTTGTCACCCGAGTCAAGTTCAAACTCCTTACCTTGTCATAGAAAGCATCTTATGATGATATGGTCCCTGCCTCGTCTTTCACCTTCATGCTCTATCATTTGACCTTTCGTACCTTATGGTGCAGAGGTCTTCAATTACATAGCAGTTCTCTTTATACCAGGCTGTTTTATGATTCCCGGCCTTCATATGTGTTTTTATTGAATACAGTCTTCTTGGCAAATTCCTACTCATACTTTGAAACTCAGTCCAAAGTTTGCTTATTTTATGGAGGCTCTTTAGGTTGGTTCCTATGTCCTTCCAAAAAGACATGCCCTTTTTTGGGAGCATTTTCTTTATTTTTGGCATAAGATTAGTTAAAGACTTGTATTTTCTTTGTCCCAACCCTGGAATCAGCCACTTCTCCAAGAAGCTCTGGTTTCTTTTATTCATGAATGCTATTTAGAAATCAGCACTTGGGTGCTAGATATGCGTATTCTCCTGGAGTGTCATTACTTCTAAGCCCTCTCAATGGACACATGTATACATTATACATACTAATCCACATGCACAGACATGTTCATATTTAATTTGTATTTGTGTATATAGTATATTAAAAATCATGAGTTCATACTGATACTTCTGATTCTAGTCCTACACGACAGGGTTCATTCTAATCTTCCTCCTTTATTTTTTGGACAGTGAGAAACCTGGCTCTTATTATATGCAATATATAATATAGGGCAGGTAAAGGAAATGAAGGGCATTTAAATTAATCTACAAAATCTTTGCAAGTTTCAGCTAATGTCTGTCATGGCAGAGTATAAAGATCTTTTGTATCTTCAATTTACAAGTCTGACAACTATAATCCAACAAAGGTTCCTCTACTCAACACACAAACATGCCTGAGAGATCCATGCGTCAGTACATCGGAAGGTGGACGTATTGTAACAAGTAGGGCATGTGGGGAGGTAAGGGGTGGATAGAGACAGTGGATCTGTCTGCAAATGCACAGATAAAGTGATTAAACAGCATGCTACTAAATAACTATTAGGTCAATGAATAAATAAAAAATTTAAAACATACATAAAGACAAATGAAAATACAACATACCACAATTTTTGGGATGCAGCAAAAAAGAGGTGTCAAGAAGGGAAGTTTATAGCAATACAAGCCTACTCAAGAAACAGGACAAACCTCAAACAATCTAATATTATCCCTTAAGGAACCAGAAAAAGAAGAACAAATGGAGTCCATAGTCATGGAAAACCAAAGTAGACTAATCACTAGTAAGGAAATTGAAATAGTAATCAAAAACCTCCCACAAAACAAAAGGCCAGCACCAGATGGCTTCAGTGGTAAACTCTACCACACATACCAAGAAGCTTTAATATTTATCCTTCTCGAAACCTTCCAAAAATTGAAGGAGGGAATGCTTCCCTAATTCATTTTCTGAGGCCAGCATTACCCTGATACCATTAGCAGATAAGGACATCACAAGAAAAGAAAATTACAGGCCACTGTAACTGATGAACATAGATGTAAAATTCTTCAACAAAACACTAGCAAATCGAATACAATAATACATTTTTTTTAAAGATTTTTTTATTGGGGAATTGGGGGGATGGGAACAGTGCTGGGGAATTGGGGGAAGGGTAACAGACAAGTTGCTGTCATTTTGCTCTTCAGACGTTGCTTCACTGGCCCAAGTTGGCACCATCATTGCGCTCTTCCTGGGCGAGCCAGCTGGGCGCCGGCTTCTGGATGGCCACTCACTGCGGCTGCTGGCCGCTCACGCTGGCTGCTGGCCACACACAGTAGCCCATGGCAACCCACTGCTACAGGGACTGCAGCCTACGCCGTCGCCGGCGACTCACGGCAGCCCAGCTCCAGGTTGAGCTGTTGTTCAGCATCTTAGCTGTTGAGGGCAGTGTCACTGGCCCTCATATGTGGGATC